ACACACACACACAGAAACACACACACACACAGAACACACACACACACACAGAAACACACACACACACACAAAACACACACACACACACACACACACACACACACAGAAACACACACAGACACACACACACACACACACACACACACACACAAAACACACACACACACAGAACACACACACACAGAAAACACACACACACACACACACACACACAGACACACACAGAAACACACACACACACACACAGACACACACTCGCCCGCAGAGCAGCAGCAGGTAACCAGGAAGCTCCCACCGGCTCCTGGTTTCTCCTCAGGGTCAGAACCAATCAGAACCCTTCCCGGCCCGGTCGGCCATGTTTGGGAACGGAGTGATGAGGTAAAATTAGGCTGCGCGTGTTTAACAGGAAATTCCTGCTGATCTGATATGGCGGCGGAGCGGCGGGTCGCTGACCTCGGTTAATAAATGTCCAGCCGCTTGTTGCTGCCAGAGAGATCGCTGCTGAGACCGTTCCTACGTCCAGAACCGGACCCGGGTCCAGAAGTCCAGAACCGGGTCACACTTCTCCTTGTTCTCTCTGCTCTCATGTTCTCTATGTAAACCAGATTCAGTGATTCCTGCTGCTGTGTGAACACGGATCATCCGAACCGGAGGCGTTGCCAGGAGCCGCTGAGAGCAACGGAAATCAATCCAGATTTCATTTGTTGTTTTTGCTTCAAATTGAACCACAACGTTTCCTAGAGAGGAACAAACGCCCTGCAGGGGGTCCTGCCGTTCGAATGACATGTTGGCGTCAGACGGGGAGGAGCTTCCTGCAGACGAGTTCTCCACCGAGGATTCGGGTCGGAGCGTCGGGACTGCTGGGAAAATTCTCGGTTTATAGAAATAAAAATGTTCCTGATCATCTGTAACCCCTTCGACCCAGACTGCAGTGTTCTGGTTGGTTCCTGAAGCAGACCCGGAGAACTTTCCAGAGGAACGGCTCAGGTTCTCCAGGAACCGGGCGACCCAGTCGCTTCCTGCCGGTTCTGCTTCTCTGCAGCTGTAATGTTTCCGCTCAGCAGACGCATCGATCCGGATCGCATTTCCTGCCGCAGCAGCAGGGGGGGATGGGCTAATAGAGCCACCGGCAGGTCGGATCAGGATGCAGAACCGGCCCAGAACCAGCTCACGCCTCAGACCCGGGCCTCCCGTGGCTCCTTGGGATCCTTCAGAGGAAGTCACGGCGGTTCACCTGGTCAGGATGATGGAGCCAACAGAACACGGACCAGAACCGACTACGGCTGAGATTCGGAGCAGAACTTCAAGAGGCTCCATCATGAGGTCAGAGGTCAAAATAATACTGATCGTTGTCAGCTGAGATGGTTCAGGTGATTCCAAACAACTTCCTGTAAACCTTCACAATAAAAGCCACTAATTAGGGTTGCTGCTGAGGGCCAGCTGGATCTGGTTCTGGTCCAAACAGAATCTTGTTTGGACCGGGACCTTGTTTCGTGCAACTCCTACTGTGGTTCTGTTGGCGCTGTGAGACTGGATCGGACTCAGGCTTCCTTTTGGACCCAGTTCTGATGGCGTGTTTAGGATCATCAGCGCCTTGTAGCCAAAACACTCCCAAGAAAAACGTCTGCTAGCCCACAAGCTACCGCCCAATCAGACAGCAGCGGGCCAATAAGAAGGTCCAAACAGAACCTGATGACGTCCCGGTTCTGGTGGGTTCTGTTGGCCTGCCACTCTCTGCCACAGTGTTCAGTGCGAAACAGGAACCGTAAGACAATTAAAGCTGAGCTCAGTGACGACCTTTGACCTCACCATATCCGAGTTCTGAAAAGCAGCTGTTGACCCGACCCGACTCGTTCCTGGGAGAATCAGAGCACAGATCTGTCAGCTCTTCTTCCAGAACCGAATGAATGAAGGAAAACCCAGGAAAGGTTCTGTTGGTTCTTGAATCGGACCTGGGAAATTCAGAACCATTTTCTGGAAACAGCAGAACCGGGTCAGCTGGAACCACCCGACTGGCTGTGGCTCAGGTCATGTGACCTGTGGTGGGAACAGGAAGTGGGACTCACCGCGGCCGCTGTTCTGGATGTCGGCGAGGATCTGCGCGTAGTTGATCTCCTTCTCCTCGAACACGCTGTGATGGGTGCTGATGTTGAACGCCTTCAGCTCCTCGTACAGACCCTCGATGGCGAAGTAGCACGGCCGGTCGTCGTACTTGTGGTCGCTGAACACCAGCGCCACGTGTTCCCTCCACTCGGACTCCAGGCAGACCCGCAGGCCGAACCGGCCCAGCTTCTTGTGGGTGGGGCCCGTGTTGGTGATGGAGGGGTAGACGCCGTTGTAGAACGCCACAGCCGTGGCCCCCGCCGTGATCATAGGCACGTCCCAGTGGGCGGTGAACAGGCCGACCGGCGCGGCGGCGTAGGAGCAGCCGGGGCCGATGAACGCCCACGGGTCGCGGGCCAGCTTCAGGTCCACCGCCGCCAGCGAAGCCACTGACTCGGAGCAGATCCCGTTCCTGTCCTCGCTGTTGTTGAACACGTAACTGAGGCGGTCGGGCAGCAGGGTTGGGTCAGAGTTGATGGTTCTGATGGCCCGCTCCACGGCGGGTCCAACCCGAGGCCAGGCCCAGGGGTACCGGGCGTTCTGAGGGAGGATCACCGCCAGCGTGATGTTCTGCCACGGGCGCCGTCTCTCCTGGTCCCTGCCGTGGCGCCGGCGGGGCTCATGCCCGGCAGACAGGTCCAACAGAACCAGAAGGACCATCAGAAGAGTCCCAGCCTCCTTCCTCCTGAACATTTCTGTGTAGTGGGTCGTCTTGGTGTAGATCGGGTCAATCAGAACCTGCAGAGAACAAAACACTGCTGCCTACCATGTTGGGTTAACCCAGAGTTGACCCAACAAAACCAACAACCCAATGAATTCAAAGACCCAATGGAGCCAACAATCCAAAAGAATCAACGACCCAACGGAACATTCTTTGTTGGTGAACTGTGAACATGAACCGGTTCAATTTGAACCCGTCTGAACTCGTGAACGTTCCCGGGCTGAGCCAGGAAATCCTCCCTGCCTTGGTCCAGGTGGGTGTTGTTTGGCGCCGCACCGCCCGGTTCTGCAACGACCCAACCCGCTGAACACCTGTTCCTACCTGAGCTGCTCTCGACTCCTTTCATCATGATCAACAGAAAAACTGAGAAAAGATCCTGCAGGAAACTTCTGTCTTTCTCAGGTAAGTTCACCTGTCAGACACACGGACTCTGCAGCGGTCCGGTCCGCACACGGCAACAGACGGAGGAGCTGCTGCTGGAGCAGGAAAATCTGCTGGACTGACTGAAGGGAAGATGTGAAAGAGAGAGGGAGGGAGGGAGAGGAAAAGGGAGGGGGAGTCGGTGACTCCGGAAGGGCGGATCAGCAGCAGTTGCCCTGACCTCCATGGGTGGGGGAGAGCTCCCCCTGCTGGGCAGAACCAGGAACACAGCAGCAGGACCAGAGGATTGATGGATCCAGAACTTTTCAGAACTTTTGAACAATGAAGACCAACATGAAAACCTGAGGAGTGTTGAAATAAGAATTTTAAAGTAGCACAATAGTACATAAGTTAACTTTTAGGTTAAGACAAACTTAGATACAGATCCAAACTGGGACAGCTGGTGACTCTCTGAACGCAGAGGATTAGACAGAAAACAGCCTAGAATCTCTTTAGACAGGGAGCCTGTCTGCCAGGCAGTTAACAAATTCCTGAGCATGGTTCAAAAGTTCACTAGGATCTTAAAACTTTTTATAAATAATTTTATCTATATTAGAATTAACTATATTTCTTTAAGCATGTTTTTAATTAGTTACTTATTAGATCCAAACTTATAGTCATTATTTAGCATTACATTTTGTGCAAGCTTGGTTAAAAATACAAACTACTTTCTTGTGGAAACATTTTGAGGCACAGATAGCGCTGCAGCTGCAATCATATATCAAACTGGACAGCGGCTGGTACGAGAAGATCTAGGCCGTATATCTGCTTTTGGGGCTCTTTAGCAGGAGGTAATAAAATTAACATTAAGACAGCCCACACAAAGGAAAAGAACACACCTCCTAATGCATATATTTAAATGATGAGAATACGCAGTCTATAAAAAATGGTTTGTTTCACAGCAGAAGTTGGAATCTCTTTGTGCTGAGTGAGAGTTTCCCGGAGGATGCATCTTCTGTTTTGTCTTTTTTTACTCAGTTCTTTGTCTCTGTTTTGTCATGTCTTGGACTTTTGATGATCTAGGTGAGATGCTTATTGCAACATTCTTCTTGGATTGAATTTCTCTGGATAAAACTCTGAATATCTGAAGTCTGACGTCGTATGATTGCTCTTTTCTCTCTGCACACTTACACAGACACAGGAATTCGGGACAAATAATTAATTAACGAGCTAAATCAAGTTATTCCTCTTTTTAATTCCTAACAGGAGTCAAAGTTTTCTGACCCAGTTTGTTTACCGATGAAGATCTGCTGATTGGTTGCATAGACAGGAAGTCACCACTGCATCACTTCCTCCTCCCAGGACGCTGAAACCAGCAGCTGCAGGTGAGGCGAACTACTGAGTATCCACTGTGTGTGTTTCTGTGCTTGCCTCTAACGGCGGTACTCCTCAGTGGGAGTTTTGCTTAAAGATGGCTGCTGGTGGAGCTTCCTGAAGAGGCGGAGCTTCTTCAGAAAAACCAGCATGGTGGCCATAGTCTGATATTAACCCCTGCTGATCCAGGAGAGGATTAAGGCCCATTATCAGTGCTCAGTATTCACAGCAACCCCTATGAAGTGTGGACAGAACGTCACATCCAAGATGGCGGCCGGTCACTGCTTAGGCACCCTGCTGCTGAAAGTACAACTGCAACAAAACATAATTTTAAATGCACACTAAAGGTATTTTTGTTGGAGATATTTGTTCTGTTGTGACTTGTTGAATACAGAAAATTTAATAGAATCACTCATGTTGAGGAAAACAAATATTATTTCAATACTTTTAAAACTGATTTTATTCTATTGGTTCGCTCTGTGAACTTTGCCATATTTCCAAGATTTTACACATTAAATATATTAATATTTAAGTCATCAGTCTGTCATTCGACTAATAGAGACAGTATTTTACCCATAAAACCATCTGTTTTATGCAGCTTAAAGTTAAAAAAAAGTTGTAAAGTGGAGCCAATAACAAAGGTGATAAAAATTCAGTGATTCCTTATTTTGGTTACATTGTACATATTAATGAGTCATATTTTATAGGATGAAAAATGTTGAATTGTAATTTTTAGTCTCGATAAGTTGAGCAGGAGGACGCGCTGAAACTGGAAATAAGGACCTGTTTGCAGCATCACATGATTTACTGAACAACCAGAACCCACAAACCAACCCGGAAACATCCCAGGACAGAACATCAGTGTGTCTCCACAAGTTGAACATGAAACGGGTCGGTTCCGGTCCCAGGTCTGGTGCAGCAGAGACAGAAACAGTTTCTGTGAAGTCCTGTCCGGCTGCTGGATCCACTTTCAAACCCGAGTCTGGTCAGGGTATCGCTCCAGAATCTCAGTGTTCTGGTTCTGATCCAACAGAATCAGTGCTCCAGCTGCTCAGCGTCAGTCTGGCGGCCCCTGCTGGAGGTTCTGGTTACATCTCATCAGCGTGTCCGAGTTTTCCCGGCTCACGGCCGGTCTGCCTGGCAACAGCAGCCGTCCCGTTCTGTGATTGGCTGCTGTCATCGCCCGCTAAGCCTTCCAGGGGTCCTATTGGCTCCGGCAGTGCCGCTGCACCCCCTGCTGACCCTGATTGGCTGAGCTCAGGAGGCACCGATGAGTCCAACCGTTCAGCGGAACCGACGCCGTCGTCTGCCGGATTGGAGAAGTTTGGGTCCGTCAGGATGTTTCTGGATACAACTGCAGAAAATAAAATGATTATTTCCTGAGGTTCCGACCCGGTAGGCTGACCTGCCTACCGGGTTCGTCTCGTTCCAAAGAACCGAGTCTTAGTGGAACCGCGAACAGGCGAGAGGTCCAATCCGACCTGCGGCGGTTCTGTAGTCGTCGTCGGCTGACGTGCGACGGCTAAATGGGCTGAAGCTGGGCAGGACGATCAGGCTGAGGGACACTAGTAGGATCTGAGGACAAACAGAAAGCGGTTCTGACTCCACAAGCGTCCCCGAACCGGTCCGGCGGACCCGACGCCGTCAGAACCACAGAACCTCCAAGAGCTCCTCACCAGTAAGCAGGTGCTGGTCTGCGCTCCTTTACTGGCCGACTGCTTGATGAGGGAGCGGAGCTGCTGCAGCTGAGAGAGGAGGGACCTGAGAGGAGACAGAATCACTGCACGGCTCAGAACCAGAACCAGAACCTGGTCTGCATCATCAGCCACTGTTACCATGACGAGATAGCTAGAAGAACCAGAACATCTGTCCAGCTCCTGGAGGCTACCGCCAACGAAAAGGCTAGCTGTGCTAATGTGCTCAGCATGAACATTAGCTTGCTAATGCTAAACCACCATACCAACATTGGTGTTTAGTGGAAGCTAACGCTAAAGCACTCAGCATGAACATTAGCTTGCTAATGCTAAACCATCATACCGACATGGTGTTTAGTGGAAGCTAACGCTAAAGCACTCAGCATGAACATTAGCTTGCTAATGCTAAACCATCATATCGACATGGTGTTTAGTGGAAGCTAACGCTAAAGCACTCAGCATGAACATTAGCTTGCTAATGCTAAACCATCATACTGACATGGTGTTTAGTGGAAGCTAACGCTAAAGCGCTCAGCATGAACATTAGCATCATACCGACATGGTATTTAGTGGAGGCTATCGCTAATGCGCTCAGCATGAACATTAGCTTGCTAATGCTAAATCACCATACCGACATGGTATTTAGTGGAAGCTAACGCTAATGCGCTCAGCATGAACATTAGCTTGCTGATGCTAAACCATCATACCGACATGGTATTTAGTGGAAGCTAACGCTAAAGCGCTCAGCATGAACATTAGCATCATACCGACATGGTATTTAGTGGAAGCTAACGCTAATGCGCTCAGCATGAACATTAGCTTGCTGTTGCTAAATCACCATACCGACATGGTATTTAGTGGAAGCTAACGCTAATGCGCTCAGCATGAACATTAGCTTGCTGTTGCTAAATCACCATACCGACATGGTATTTAGTGGAAGCTAACGCTAATGCGCTCAGCATGAACATTAGCTTGCTGTTGCTAAATCACCATACCGACATGGTATTTAGTGGAAGCTAACGCTAATGCACTCAGCATGAACATTAGCTTGCTGTTGCTAAATCACCATACCGACATGGTATTTAGTGGAAGCTAACGCTAATGCACTCAGCATGAACATTAGCTTGCTGTTGCTAAATCACCATACCGACATGGTATTTAGTGGAAGCTAACGCTAATGCGCTCAGCGTAAACAGAAGCACATTAGTTTAAGTCTGCTCCTGGCTCTACAGCAGGAAAACATTGGATCAGAACCAGAGGAATCATCTTACACATTGTGTTTCTCCAGCTGCTCCACGGTTCGCTGCAGCTCCTGGTTCTGAGCCGAGCACGCCGCTGCCCTGAAGAAAGAACCAGAACAAGACCGGATCAGAACCATTAAGATGGTAGCGAGGTCAGGCCACGAGGGGCGCTGTCAGTCAGCTCACAAGTTACCATGGCATCACAAGGATTGTACCTCGTGTGACCCTGTGGCGCCCCCTGCTGGCCCCCAGCGGTACCTGCTCTCCAGGCCGTGGATGTACTCCTTCCTCCTCTTGCGGCTGTCCTGAGCCGACTGCTTGTTCCGAATCTTCCTGCGGACTTTCTTCAGGATCCGCTCTTCGGCCTGCGGGAGAGAAACGCGTCAGAGACGAAGTCAAGCTGCAAAAAAAGATGGCCGCCCTGGACTGGACATCACTGTCAACTAGGGCTGTTGTAAATAAATATTTTAGTAATTGAGTAATCTATTGATTATTCTTACGATTAACCGAGGAATCGGATAAAAAAAAAGATGAAATACAATATTAGTAAATCTCCATACAAAACAGCAGTTACTATCAGATATCAATACCAGTCCAATTTTCATATTTGAGCTTCTATACCATTTACTTTTCTGTAGTTTAGAAAACGAATTTGTAACAATAACATCTCAGTTTCTAAGTCAACCTGAAGAAAAGTTATATAAGAATCTGAAATTCTGTTCAGTTCAATAATAAAGAGGCAGGCTCACAATACGCTTCTGAAAATGTCCAGCTTTGGGTTTATGTTTTCATCTCCATTCAGTTTAATAGATGAACTCTGACCTTGGCCCAAATGACACCTCAGTTCGTCATAGAAACTCATTACCAGCTACGCTGCATTTGCTGAGATGAAATTAATTTAATCCCTGAATTGAGGAAGTCCTAGTGCACTGGTGAACATTTTCCAAAATGTAATCTTTATATGCGTTTGCGGCGGCCAGAAGCGGTTCTGTTGGACCTTAGTGAGTGGAAGGTTGCTGGGCAGGGACACGCCCTCCTCCGTCAGCAGCTTCTGCTCCTCCTCCGTCAGCCGCAGGTCAGGGAACAGCGGCACCTGAAGAGGAAGAGTGAATCTTCCAGCCTCAAACGTCCTCTGATGATACTAACTGACAGGAAGTCTTACCTGGTCGCTACCTGAGAGAGGGGCGGAGCTCCGGCTGCAGTCAGATGGAGAGGATGAAGACGGGGCCATGATGCAGGAGTCTGAAAACAGCAGCTGGGAACTCCACTCATCTGGAGGAGCAGGCGAGGGGCCGGGGGGTGGGGGGACCCACCGGGAGGGGCCGGGGTGAAAGGGGGGCGGGGGGGTTTGTAGTGGGAGAAAAAGGAAACGAGGTGAGTTGATGACTTCATCATATTATATCATCATGTGGACCGAGTGAGGACTGGGTCAGAACCGGACCTACCCAGCTCGATGGAGATGATGTTCTCCTGACCGGGTTCAGATTTGGCTCCACCCACAGAGCTGATGTCATAGACCACCTGGTAGACTGATGGCTGGCTGGTCTCCGTGTTCACTGCTGTCACCATGGCAATAGGGGTCTCCTCCGAGATGCCGCTGTCACTCTCGGACGACGTGTCGGCGGGCCCGGTGTCGGTGGGCCCGGTGTCGGCGGGCCCGGTGTCGGCGGGCCCGGTGTCGGTGGGCCCGGTGTCGGCGGACCCGGTGTCGGTGGGCCCGGTGTCGGTGGGCCCGGTGTCGGCGGGCCCGGTGTCGGTGGGCCCGGTGTCGGCGGGCCCGGTGTCGGTGGGCCCGGTGTCGGCGGGCCCGGTGTCGGCGGGCCCGGTGTCGGCGGGCCCGGTACCGGCTCCAAACACTTCGTTGGGGTCGACGGCCTGTAGGATGTCCTCCGATTCGCTGTCGTCCAAGGTCACCTGACAGGAAGTAAGAACAGATGAGCCGAGGGGGCCGGACCCAGAACCACCTGGTCCAGAAGCACCTACAGGATTCTGGTTCCGGCCCAGAAGACCAACTGAGCGCGCTCAGACTGCCTTTCAGGTAAAACACTCTGCTAACACCAAGGAGTCCCGCCTCCATTACTCATCTTATCCTCCAGGTTAAGTTGGAGGATGCTAAGCGTCCATTAGCATCCATCTACGTCGTACCTTCAGTGTGTCCGGTGTGATCCAGTCTAAGTTTCTGCAGGTGTTGCCCAGGGCTCAGATCAACATCCTGGCCTCACATTCAGCAGAAAGAATAATATCTGTTGTTACGCTGACAAAGCCCAGCTCTGCCTTTCCTCTGAGCCCACTTCCTGTCAGATTGTTATGAAGAAAAGTCTAATTCACTGGCACTGCTTCCACCTTAAAGGGGCAGTATCAGGTATTTTTCAGGCACATAGTGCAGTTTTATCCACCTTATTCCGAGCCACCATGAGGCATTGTGTGATTTATGGGTGCAACTTCTGCTGCAAACTGGAACTATCATTTGTTTACATGTTAGCAACTCGCTAACCAGCTTAAAATATGTGAAAACACCCGCTATCAAAACTTAAATGTGACAATATTGTTTTACCGCACTAGCATAGCTAGCTACCAGAACTAGCATAGCTAGCTACCAGAACTAGCATAGCTAGCTACCAGAACTAGCATAGCTAGCTACCAGAACTAGCATAGCTAGCTACTTCACTGACTCAGTTGTTCTGGATGCAGATGCAGGTTTTCTTCATCCACACAATGAAATGAGCATAAAGCATTTTGGCTTCTTCAATGTTAACATTTTTATCCAAATTATTTTGTTTGCTTATCTGCAGCTTTTGTTTTGGGAGTCGTTAAAAACACACCAGCTGCTGCTGCACACTAAACTTGGTCTGATTATTGGGAGCAACTTGACACTTTCCAGAGGCAAGTTGCTCTCTTGCCTCTGGAAATGTGCGGTTCGGTTGGGTTCTGGTGATTAAACTCACCATGTGCAGAGCAGCTCTCTGATAGTGACTGTTTCACTAAACAAGTTTTACTAAATATTGTATTGTAATAAAAGGGAGCTGTAACTTCAATCATGAATATAGATTAGCAAATCACAGTAAATACGGCTCCTTCCAGTGGGTGCTGGAAATTAGACCCATGCTAATCGCTGCTGGCTAGTCTGAAGAAGCTACGCCTCAGATGTTAAACATGAAGGGATCAAAGCAACACATCAGGGAAAAACAGAGATCTAAGCAGTCGATTTAACAGGATACCGGCCCTTTATGGTCAGACCACGCCCATCTTCATCATTCTGCTCAGGTAGAAGGTGGGTGTATCAGTAACACAAAGTGGCTCCGCCCCTTCCTGGCCGCAGCCGGATCGGTATCGTCTCTCTCCATCACCTCCAAATAAAGTGGAACTCCACACCTCAGAACTCACCTGTTCACCAAGAACATGCATCATTATTATCAACTCACACAGCTGGGGTCCACCACCCAGTCCTGCAGGGGCTCTCTTGGGCCGCTGAAGCCGATCGAACCGGGCCAGTGGGTCGCCGGCCCGGTTCCAGGCAGAACCGCCCCGCTCTCAGTGTCCATCAGCTGAAACACACCACAGCAACATCAGAACCACACAGAACCAGAACCACACAGAACCGAACAGAACCAGAACCACACAGAACCAAACAGAACCAGAACCACACAGAAACACAACCACAAGAAACTAGAACCATCTAAAACCAAAACAGGTCTACTCTCAATCAGAACCAGAACCATCTGCTGTAGCTTTGGATCAGAACCTCTGAGAAAAAATACAAAAGCACCAGGTTCTGGTTCTGGTTTCACCCAGAGAACCCAGAACAGGAACCAGAACGCGGTTTGTTTTCCCTGCCTGCTTCTGAATGGTTCTGTTGTGTTGGTCCTGAGGTTCTGGTTGGGCCCGGTTGCTCCAGCAGGTTCAGCGGTCCAGGACATCCTGCTGGACCCGCCCTGCATCTCAAACATTCCCGTCCCGCCTCTGGAACCGGACGGACCGGTTCTGACCCGAGTATCTGCTGCCTGCACAGGAACACAATGCAACCAGAACCAGCAGAACCTGGATCCAAACATTCCCAGTCTGAGAATGCTCAAATGAAGGAACCAGAACCAAATCTGTTTAGACAAGCAGGACATCAGCAGGAACCCGGACTGGTTCTGGACCGGAACCCTCCAGGACCTCTGATCTCCCAGCGGAGCGGGCAGAGGTTCTGAATCCAGAACCTCCCTCACGCAGCTCAGCAGATTAAATCCGGACTGATTAAATCAGGACACCAGAACCAGGCTGGCCCCAATGAGGAGCTACACATACTCACTGAGTGGTTCTGTTTGGAGCTGGTTCCGGATCAGTACGTTCGGTTCCTCATGAAAACAACCAGAACAGCTCGCTACTCAGACTAAAGGAAAACAGCTGGCAGGCTGGCCGCCTAGCGCTTCCTGCTCTCTGGCTCCCCCTGCTGACAGCCCGCAGCGCTTCCTGCTCTCTGGCTCCCCCTGCTGACAGCCCGCAGCACGAGACTTCCGATCTCACACCCGGACATCTACCACGTCACAGAAAACACTAAAAAATTACGTAATCTAAAATAACATAAAAAAAAAAACCTTTACTGAGGTAAAATTACAAAAAAATCTTTGTTTTAAAAGAAATGATAAAAGTATTGAATTATAAGAATACATATAAAAACAATAAAGTCAAATATATATATATTTTAAAAAAGCTTAAAAAATAAAATTAAATAATCAGATTAAAAGGTTAAAAACAAAATGCTCAAAAGCACTACACGAGAAAAAAAAAAATCTTAAATTTAATTGAATTTAGTCCCGATTATATGGTGACAGAAAACAGGCTGGATTAGAACCGAGTACAAAACAGTCCAGGTCCAAGTCCTGTTGATCCAGGCAGTTTTAACTGATCACACAAAATAAAATGAGGCTGAATTGGGAGTTTGAAAAGATTAATTAGTTTATAAATAAAAGTCAATATATGTGTTGTGTTCTTTATTTATTTGTGTATTTTATGTCCGCTCAGTCTGTTGTTACTTGAACTACTTTAACAGGTATGGTTTAAATTTTCCCTTACTAAACAGTCTGTATATTTTTTTAACTTTTGTGTGAATCTGTATTCCAGTGGCACGTTTAGCCGCCTCAGTCTGGTTCACCCGGACTTCCACAATAAAAACCCTAAAAAATTATCATAATGAAATGTCTGACTCCGTCCAGTGGGTGGCAGTGCAGCACCGGAAACGTTCAAAGAGAAGCGGAACCGGAGCCGCTGCGCCTCCTGCTGGCTGGCAGCGGAGATGAAGATCAAACGGAATAAATGGAGTCAACAAACTGCACGTGAGGCGTTATTTCGACGCTACTAAGTTGTCAACAGGTAATAGTGATACACCTCCCGACACGTCACATCATCTGCACAACTCAGCCGGGCGCGCGCAGGAACATAAGCTGGGAGTTAGCAACAGTTGGCATTATCTGCTAGCACTGAGCTAGTTAGCTCTGAGCTAAAAGCTGCGTTCAAACATATGGGAGAACCGTTAGCTGGTTGGGTTAGCATCCCGTTCATCTTCAGTGGTTAGTTTCTAACCCTGAGCTAGCAGCAGCTCTGTGTTAGGTATAAAGGACCACAGAGCGGGTCCCAGAGTTCGGTTCGGTCTGCTGCAGCTGCTACAGGTTCTGCCTGCAGCTGGCAGAAACTGTCCGTCTGTTAGCAGATGAATCCAAACACCGGTTCCGTCAGGCTGGACTGTCAGCTCCGAATAATAACAGACCGGAGGGTTCCGACCGTTTTCAGGCTCCAGTTACCCTGGGGTTCCTCGGCTGTGTCAAGAAGCACTCGGATTGGTTCTTTAAAAACCGGTTACGGCTGATCCGGCACCGGTTTTTAAAGTTCTGCTCACTATTTAAACGAAAATAGTTCATGTTCAGAGTTCAGCAGCTATAATCACAGTCCCAATACGAATTGCTTCTTGTTCATTTGTACATAAGATCTTTAATGATCGTGATTGGTTCCAGATCCCTCAGGTGTGTTGCTGTCCTTCACCTGTCTAGTATTGATGGTCTCATTCCTGACCTTTGAACTGTCTGTGTTCCAGCGGCGGTGGGTGGAGCCTCTTGGCAGCCATGATGGCGGACCCTCAGGACGACCTTTCCCCCGCCTACTCTGAGCAGAACAGCCCCACCTTCTCCACTTGCTCCTCCCCCTCCCAGTCCCTCCCTCCACCCCTCCTCATGCGGGGCCCCCCGCCCCGCCTCACCACCTTTGGGCGTCATCAGCGAGGGGGGTGGCGAGCTGAGCCTGGTCATAGACGCCGAGGTGGCGCAGCGGGCGTGTCAGGAGGTCCTGCAGAAGGTGAAGTTGCATCAGGTGGACGCCGCCGCCAGTCCCGCCCCAGGCTCGCAGCACAACGGACCGTCCCCGGACCGCGGCGTCCCCGCCATCAAACCGCCGCAGATCCGTGAAGAGGACGATCCGGAGGGCCCGGCGCCCGGCTCGGTGAAGAGCGCGCGGCGGCGCCAGAGACACAACCCATCCAAGCAGTCGTGGCTGCTGCGTCTGTTTGAGTCGAAGCTGTTCGATGTCTCCATGGCGATATCCTACCTGCACAGCTCCAAGGAGCCAGGTGTGCAGGCGTACATCGGGAACCGGCTGTTCAGCTTCCCGCACGACGATGTGGACTTCTACCTGCCGCAGCTGCTCAACATGTACATCCACATGGACGAGGACGTCGGCGACGCAATCAAGCCATATCTGGTGGGTGTGGCCTGCGGTCAGCTGACCTGCTCGGGGCGAGGCTGCTTACTGTGGTGGTTGCCATGGTGAAGGTCAGAGTTCAGCCTCAGGAAGTGATGGTGGTCATGGAAACAGCTTGAGCTGTACAAACCAGACACAGGAAGTTTACCTTTTATGGATAAAAGCAGTTTATTTTTGTTATGGTTTCCATGGAATCAGCTATTTAGCAAATAAATCTGGGTTGTAATCTCAGTTTAGACAGTTTTCCTGTTGTTCGTTATATTCCACATCAAGGTGGCGCAAAGTTACTCTATTGGATCAAAATCTGTTCAGAACATGAAAGGAAACCCAGCAGGGGATCAGTTCTGAGGCCTAGAATGGACCCAGCCCGGTTCTGATGAGCGTATGCTAATGGGCTAGCTACTGGGTAGGCACTGGACCAGCAGTATGCTAATGGGCTAGCTACTGGACCAGCAGTATGCTAATGGGCTAGCTACTGGGTAGGTACTGGACCAGCAGTATGCTAATGGGCTAGCTACTGGGTAGGTACTGGACCAGCAGTATGCTAATGGGCTAGCTACTGGGTAGGTACTGGACCAGCAGTATGCTAATGGGCTAGCTACTGGGTAGGTACTGGACCAGCAGTATGCTAATGGGCTAGCTACTGGGTAGGTACTGGACCAGCAGTATGCTAATGGGCTAGCTACTGGACCAGCAGTATGCTAATGGGCTAGGTACTGGACCAGCAGTATGCTAATGGGCTAGCTACTGGGTAGGTACTGGACCAGCAGTATGCTAATGGGCTAGCTACTGGGTAGGTACTGGACCAGCAGTATGCTAATGGGCTAGCTACTGGGTAGGTACTGGACCAGCAGTATGCTAATGGGCTAGCTACTGGGTAGGTACTGGACCAGCAGTATGCTAATGGGCTAGCTACTGGGTAGGTACTGGACCAGCAGTATGCTAATGGGCTAGCTACTGGGTAGGTACTGGACCAGCAGTATGCTAATGGGCTAGGTACTGGGTAGGTACTGGACCAGCAGTATGCTAATGGCTAGCTACTGGGTAGGTACTGGACCAGCAGTATGCTAATGGGCTAGCTACTGGGTAGGTACTGGACCAGCAGTATGCTAATGGGCTAAGTACTGGACCAGCAGTATGCTAATGGGCTAGCTACTGGACCAGCAGTATGCTAATGGGCTAGGTACTGGACCAGCAGTATGCTAATGGGCTAGCTACTGGACCAGCAGTATGCTAATGGGCTAGGTACTGGACCAGCAGTATGCTAATGGGCTAGCTACTGGGTAGGTACTGGACCAGCAGTATGCTAATGGGCTAGCTACTGGGTAGGTACTGGACCAGCAGTATGCTAATGGGCTAGGTACTGGACCAGCAGTATGCTAATTGGCTAGGTACTGGACCAGCAGTATGCTAATGGGCTAGGTACTGGACCAGCAGTATGTTAATGGGCTAGGTACTGGACCAGCAGTATGCTAATGGGCTAGGTACTGGACCAGCAGTATGCTAATGGGCTAGCTACTGGGTAGGTACTGGACCAGCAGTATGCTAATGGGCTAGGTACTGGGTAGGTACTGGACCAGCAGTATGCTAATGGGCTAGCTACTGGGTAGGTACTGGACCAGCAGTATGCTAATGGGCTAGCTACTGGGTAGGTACTGGACCAGCAGTATGCTAATGGGCTAAGTACTGGACCAGCAGTATGCTAATGGGCTAGCTACTGGACCAGCAGTATGCTAATGGGCTAGGTACTGGACCAGCAGTATGCTAATGGGCTAGCTACTGGACCAGCAGTATGCTAATGGGCTAGCTACTGGGTAGGTACTGGACCAGCAGTATGCTAATGGGCTAGCTACTGGACCAGCAGTATGCTAATGGGCTAGGTACTGGACCAGCAGTATGCTAATGGGCTAGCTACTGGTAGGTACTGGACCAGCAGTATGCTAATGGGCTAGCTACTGGGTAGGTACTGGACCAGCAGTATGCTAATGGGCTAGGTACTGGACCAGCAGTATGCTAATTGGCTAGGTACTGGACCAGCAGTATGCTAATGGGCTAGGTACTGGACCAGCAGTATGTAATGGGCTAGGTACTGGACCAGCAGTATGCTAATGGGCTAGGTACTGGACCAGCAGTATGCTAATGGGCTAGGTACTGGACCAGCAGTATGCTAATGAGCTAGGTACTGGACCAGCAGTATGTTAATGAGCGTCCTATTACAGGATGAAGATCAGCAGGAAAAATACATCCTGTAAATGCATTCAAGGTTCCGACAGGAACACTCATTTTAAACCAGTTTTAAACACAGCACTAGATTCTGAATCGATGTTTAAATGAATCCGTTTCCTGATCTGATTATAATTAGTGAAGTTTTCTGGTAATTAAATAATCTGGTGATATTTCATATTCTGATGTTATTATCACAATTAAAATAGAAAATTTCAGTCTGGCCCTCATTTAGTGTCACCATTTTTCTTTTTACAAACTCTCTTCTGTCAGTTCTGTATCTGTGTGTGTGTGTGTGTGTGCAGAAGTAGAGAAGGCTTCAGGTGAGTGAGGTACTGAGCAGTAGCAGGCACATCACCTGATGCTGCGGCTCCACCAAGTGGTCGGGGTCAGTAAATGGACTCAAGTTATATAGCGCGTTTCCAGTCATTTTGACCACTCAAAGCGCTTTACCCTAGAGTCACATTCACCCATTCACCCA